GGCCTCCGAGGACTGAGATCGCTTGGCAGCGATCATGATGATGGTGGCGGTTGTGGTTGGTAGCAAGCTATGGTAGCAAGAGGAGTAGGATGAGAGGGGAGGAGGAGTAGCAACACCCGCCCCGGCAGCAGCAAAAGCAGCAGAAGTCGGCATGTATGTAGCAGAGGTGCTCGTCGTGTTCGTGACAAGACGCGGTAATGACAGTGGGAGACTACTGATGTATAGATATGATACGAGCGGCACCGATGGGGATAAGCCAGATAATGACTAGCAGCTAGCATACTTTCTCTCACACAACATCATTACTTTCACATTAACCACGCACGCAGCATCGTAACATCATGAGGTTGTCACTATATGCGCCTGGTGTCGTATGGGATACTGTGGGCATGCAATGGCACACAGTATGGTTAGTGGCGATGCCGTGTAATGGCCGTGACCACGCTAACCACTGATCATGACCATAATGAAAGGAAGAACAGTGCTGCGGTCAGACAGGGAACAAAGACGCAACCCTTGCATGCACGATCACACGTTGACTAGCTCCCGCTACCAGCCCAAACTCTGCTTGAACCTTCTCACTTACACCTGGCGCAACCCGTCACGTGCTAAAGTTTGCCTTACATCGAAGAGACACAAGTGCGGCGGCACCCAACAGCCACAGCAGAACCGGGCATAAAGAACGTGGTCAGTCGCGACAAATAGCACGAGTCGTGCTGACAACAACTCTTGAATAAACTGTTGACAGCTCAAGAATCAGCTGACCATGTACGCTCTTCACTGGGAAGGCTACCGTCCAGGCCTTGAAGCAGGAGCTGAAGAAGCTAGTCGCGCCAAACCTGGGCTTTTTCGTGCTCCAAGGAATCAGATTCAGAGCTTTGCAAAAGAAACGATGTGCATGGAAAGCTGAGGTTGTCGCTGGATGCATGTGATCGGAGCGATCGAAACCTCGGTGCTGACTTGTCGCTTTCTACTTCGATCAGATGCCGCCTGGACTTGTGTTCCAGCTCTAGTAGTGTCGCAGTGTGATGCATCATAACTTTAAAACGAATGAGCGTCACAATGTCAACACAAAATTTCTCCGTTTAACAGCAGCTCGGAAGCAATTGCGAGGGGCAGCCCGCGGTAGCCTAAGGTGCAGCAAGGCATGACAGCAACACCTTACATGACACTCGCAATGCTGCCTTACGAACCACTCCAGTCTGAGCTGCCGCCTACGTGTCCAAACTACCCGAGCCCAGACGGCACAGATGAGTGCCGTCTGGGCTCGGGTAGTTTGGACACATAGGCGGCAGCTCAGACAGATCACTCACTCATCAGCTCGCGAATCGGCTGGAGGACCTTGCCGTTCGGACGCGCTCTGAGTGTTGATCTGTGACCTTTGTGTAGGCAACGGCCAGCCAGGTGGCAGTAGCTCGGGCTCACCGCCCGAGAGAAGGAGAAGCGCTGCTGCTGGAGCTCGGTCTTCCAGAAGACCTCAAGCAAACGGAGGAAGAAGCTCGAGATGGATCGCTGCACATGACGCGCACCGTGACCGCTGAGGCGTTCTTCGCCAAGCTGTTCTTCCACTGTCGCCGACACCCCAAGCCCTGAACTAGCAGCCCATACCGAAGAGCGACTTTCCAAGAAACGATACCCTGAGGTCGAAGCCCATCAGCCCTATACAAACCTAAACCCTCCAGAACCCTAGACCGGTTAATCCCAAGTCCAAAAAAGACTCAAACCCTAAAGCCTTGGACCCAAAAGACCCTAAGTCTCAAGCTTTTGAAAGAAAGCACAAGCATAGCAGGCAGTAAATGTTGAAATCCTACAGCCGTATAGCCCACTAGACCCAGATCCGAGGGGCCGCAGGGCGCATGATTACCATCCTTAGGGCATCTTCGCGGATGGACTGACTTCGGGGGGGTTTACGGCTTCCGGGCTTCGGAACTTCGGACTTCAGGGTTTAAGGTGTGTGTTGCTCAGAGTTTGGGCGGTTTTGGATGCTTGGAGTCTCGGAGTTGGGGGAAGCAGTTGGAGCCACTTGGAGCTAGTAGATCGGGATCCTTTGCGCCTCAGGATTTTCCGGGTTTGACCTGCTGTCTGTCATGAGACTTCGTCGCATACCACGCTCACGGCATGAGTCATGGCGTTCAGACGGTCATGGCGTTCAGACGGGCCTGGCTTGCAGCCGCAGGACGGTTTGCTGCAAGGTAACAAGCGCAGATTTACGTGCTGCCCCCGGCAGTGACCTGGACCCTTGAGAAGTTTGCAGCTCTGCTTTTCTTGATCGCCTCAATACGACCCGCCCAATGTGCATGCAGGACATGCATGAACCTGCAAGTGGCATTAAACGGAATGTGTCGATGCATCAGCATCGACACATTACGGGATCAAGCTCGTCAGAACTTGATGGATGCACTTCACCACCGAATATTTTGGAGCCTCCGCAAGAGTTCCGAATTCATGCAGAACCCGAGTCACAGTCTTTCTTGGAACTCCCGGGTGCCATAGTCCCAAAACCTGAACGTCACCTTCAGCCTCAAACCCGAATTCACACGCATCAAATCAGAACCTGTCCCTCCAACGCGTCCACGATGCTCCGCCGAACCAACTGCGGCACCGATGATGGCATGCTGCGCCGCGCTCAGGTCCTTCGTGCACCGTGAAAGGGCTTACCAAAAAAGGCCATGGGTCACAAGGGTCTTGAGCCCGTCCGGTCAAAGCTTAGACATAGAAGCTTGCAGGTGGACTTCTCTACGGCCTAACCTATCTAGGACGCCCAAACGTCTTGCTGTTCTCGGTCTTTTTCCATCAGATTTCTCTTGACAAGACTGGCATTTGACCTCCAAAGCTGGAGCTGTTTAGGATTTCCATGATTGGGACAAGTGGTTGCACTTTTTGATTCCCGTGAGGAAGGAAGCGATGAACGCTTGAACCCGCCACTTCTGCTGCCTCCTTGGCAGTCTTGCTCATCGCGTTCCTGCGAGCAGCCACGATCCTGCCAGCTTGTGGACTGTGTGAGGGCCGAAGGCGGAAGCTTAAGGGACGTCAAGTGCTAGTGAATCTGCGCGCTGGGATGGGTTACACTAGATCCATCGCAG